TATTAGGGCAGGGCAGTATGGCCAAAAACATTTATCACGATATATATTTGAAAATTTGCGATAACTATATAACTGACGATATAATGCATGTGAGACTCCACAACTTTAAACTTAAAAGAGCTTATACACACACAATACGGTAACATTATGTTGAAGCACAGTACGTATCACTCCGCGAGGCTACAGTAGCTGTAATGCTCCGACGATCCATCAAGCTGTGCGGCTTCGTAGCTTAGCAAAGTCGTACTGAAACATTTTTTTGACAGATTTTTAAGCGCCGCGTACCAAATTAAATCGGTTCGGTAATAACGACGGCCCGCTAGCATGCTCTACCAAAAAATGTGCTTTGGTGTGTATCTGACGGACGAAAGCCAAACCAGTTCGACTGAAGTTGCAACATTTTTACAAACAAATTCTGGATCATCTGTTTCATTCAACGATCCGCTTTCGCCCTTCTCATTCTCCGTCGCCGCCATGCTCTTTCTGCCACGTGCGCATGAAAACAAAGGCACTGCGCATGCGCGTTTTACCCATATTCTATCGCGATATTTGATTTTCTTATCATTGCCTAACATTGTATCAATATTACCGTGAACGGTATCTATATAGTAGCAAGAACCCACTGTACACACGGTTTTTGCCATGCCCACAGGGCTCGTTTGCTGTGCTTATGTATTCAAAAAATTAATGTATCACGTTATTCTTTATGTCTTCAATATAGAGTCAGATGGCAAAAATGTCTTTTTACAAATGAAATTTGTTCTTAGATTTTTGACTTGTGTTAGAGGAAATCATGACACGTTGTGATGGGTATTTTTGTTTGAGCTGCAGATAACCTGACAATCACTTCCTTATTTAAATAATCAGTTATTGTCACGTTAAAAATGTTTTTATGAAGTGTTGTTCATCATCTGCCCTGGTGAGATCTTCTCTGGGTGGAATAGGTGATAATGAAACTGTCATTCTTCTGCTCTAAACAGAAGAATTGAGATTTTTAAAAGCTGTGACATTCACAGTGTCTCACAGCAATAATTCATGTTTATCATTTGTTACCAAAAGCCCAAACTCCCAGATTACTCCGTTTACAGTCATACCTGACAGAAGCAAGTCGACATGCTTAGCGCGAACCATCAAATGTATGGCATTTGTTCCTAAAATACTAAATTTATGGCAATAAAAAGCTTACAGGTAGTGAACTGAGAGGAAGGGTCATCAGTAATGGCAAAAAGTCACCATTTTCTTTCACTGATTGGCTGTTTTCTTTTAGTTGATTGATTGGACCTGTCGGTTCACAGAGTTCAGTGGACTCAGCTTGACAGACAATGACTGATGACCAACAGCAACCAGAAGACATTTCAGCCCATTAGAGCTCAAACTGAAGCTTTTTTGTAGCATTAATAAAATATACGGTAAACACAAGAAAAGCCCAAGGCTGCTGCTAATGATTGCTGGCGTTATTGATCGCTGTAAAGACTTTATTTTAGTTATTCTGTCTGTTGAGAAAAGGCTCAAGGAGACGGCCTAAAATGTATTTTTAAAAATTTATTTTTTGGTCACCCCAAACATACTTTGGTCACTGTGAAATAGCTATAGGCAGTGGCAGAAAAACTAAACTGTTTTTGTTTTTTGTTTTTTTTTCAAAATGGCACATTATTAATCACCTTCTCCTTAAGTGAAGCCATTATTCTCTTTATGGAAAGCTTTTTAATGTCTGTTTTAAGTACATTAGCTCAGACAGTTAAGCTGCCAGACTGTCGCATCTCAAATCCCACATGTGTTTCGTCTGGTCCTGGATTCTGAACATTGCAAGACCGAGGTTACTATCAGTCATTCTGTCAGGGTTCATGCTCTCTGCTTGTGCTGTTATCTTTAATAAATACCAAACATTTCGTTTTGAGAACTTGAGTTTGTCTTCAGATTGTCTTCTATTTTTTTTGTCTTTAAAGTGGAACAAAGTCCTCCATTAAAAAGGCTTGTAAAGCTTTACTCAGAACACATAATAAGAGCTTTGACACCTTAAAAAGCAGATAATTTGGTATTTTTGTTTTTGTGCTTGATCTCTCTCCAAACAAAGAATAAAACTACAAAAATACTGACATATGCTATTCCTCAACCTCCTAGTAGATGCACCTATCGTATAAATGTGAAAATCTGTGGTGATGTTTAAAAAGAAATTGACCTGCATCTACGGTATGAATGTTGAAATCCTGCATGATCTGGGTCCCGAGTTATCACATTGACAAACTTGGGTGTTCACGCTGCCTGAAAGATATGTCAAGGACTTTAGAACCGGGCACTTTCAGTGTAGTCACACTAGTTAGCGATTAGAAGTCAGCCATTGCTAAATTCTCATAGAGAACTGGCAAAACAATGTGAGAGATATGGATATTCATCAGAAACAACCAAAATAAAGAAAATACACCTCTAAACCTATTTAGAAATCTTTGAAAAGAGAACGCCTGGCGTCAGATGGAGGCAGCCTCTGGTGTGCTGTTGAGACTGTTACCAAGTCATCACCAAAGAATCCACCAGGGATGGGCTTCGCCAATCACTAATTAACCAACCAGTCATCCAACTTTATTATAGGCCTCTGTAGCATCAGTTATATCGGAAGCGGATGATATCTCGTTACTGAACGAAAAGTTAACTGAAAGCTTTTTTTAAAAATTGTTTTCGAGTGGCCTCAGCGAGACTTTACTTTATCACTTAGTTGTGGTTATTTGTTTGTCATAGGCTAACAAACAATTAGATCAAGTATTTTTTCCAAAGTATTTTTTTCATGTTTCTTAATATTTTTTTTTAAAATGTCTACCTTTTTTTTCCCAATAAGATTCCAAGATTAATTCCACCAGATGGTTGTGAGTAACAAACCATCTGCTGCGACATATTAATAAGCTACATGATGGTATTGCTCTTCTTTAATTTAACAACAGATTTAATTTCTTCCTGTCACCATATTATTGGCTAAATAGACCTGCTCATCGGTGCTCTTCTATCAGATCTTTTTCTTCTTCCATTTTCAAATTTATTTATTTTTTTTAGATCCACTTTTAAAAACTCATGGTGGGATTTAGATTGGGATTATTTTATGAATTGTTACTTTGACAGCAGTCAGAATCCTTCACATGCTCTCCAGATAGGATTAAAGTCACTGACTGTAGCAGGAAATATTAAAATCCCCCTCTAGCATAAATCCCATACACTTTAATGCTCCACTTAGGCAAAGAGTATTTTAGAGATGAAGGCTAACATCAAACCTGTAACATACTCACTGCGCTAAGTGGGTTTATGTTCTGTACTTGTAACTGCTTTATTTAGCATGTTAGCATGCTAACATTTATTGATATAATGTGCACATGGGGCTGATGTGAGTCTTAATAGAACTGCAGGCTTTTTCTTCAATAGATTAGAATTATTCAAACTTCCAAAAACTGAATAGTTTGTACAACGAAGTTTAGAAGAATAAGACAAAAATCTTTATTTATTCATTTATTACATTTACTATAGTAGTGCAGTTCAAAGGCCCTGAGTAATAGTGAACGATAACATTTGGAGAAAGTCTTACAAAGCTGAGAAATTATCACCAAAAGTTCTTGTTTTATGTTCTCAACTTCAGAGTTGGAGGAGTAACAGGGGGAGCACAAGGTGGACATCGATAGTCCTGACAGTATTTGGCACTCAATGACACCTCACCTCCAACCGACCGTGGCAGATGGCCCCGCCCCTCCCTGTTCCTGGTTCTGCCAGAGGTTTCTTCCTGTTAAAAGGGAGTTTGTCCTTGCCACTTTCGCCAAAGTCCTTGTCTCATAGGGCTTAGTCTGATTGTTGGGGTTTCTCTGTGTTATTCTAGGGTCTTTACCATCGGCGTAACTTTGTGTTGAACATTGGGGGGGTCAAGATGTCTGTCTAAATAAATAAATAAATCTGGGTAAATTCCCAGATGATTAAACATGCAACTATTTTGCTGGTAATACCTGAAATGAGTAAAGAAAATCAACAGCCTATTTATGCAAGATAATTCATAATTTTATTGGGGGGGTTATATTGGTTGGGTCTGATTATTGGGGGGTCATAACCCCCCTGGAAATTACGCCTCTGGTCTTTACCTTACAATACCTTGAGGCAACTGTTGTTGTGTTTGGTGCTAGATAAAGAAAACTGAATTACATTGAACGTTGCAGACTTATAAAAACGAATCTCTGCTCAGATAAACATATAAATTGTACTAGTGGAGCTCAAAGTAAACCAAAAACCTAAGAGGTCCTAAAGGTTAATAACTGTAGATATGTGTAGCGGTGCGCTTTCAAAAAAATGTTCTTGCTCTTTTGAGTGTACTGGGTACAAAAAGAAAACCACTGTGGTGGTTTATGTTATAATTGTTAGTAAATACCTTGAAATCTTTAAATGTATAAGACATAAAAGATTCTTCAGACTGTGAAGGAGGTCATCTAAAGCTCAGGAGTCTTTTCAAGTGTTTGGCCTGTTCGTTTAGTGTGTTTGAGCACAAATGTTAACCTTATGTGAACAGTCAGCAGCTCAGCAAAGGCGTTAGGATTCATCCTACAGACGTCCTGGATATGTGCACCAAATTTCATTCCAGCCCATCAATAGCTGGAGAAATCTGGAGAAAGTCATGATGCTGCTGTTTCACCAGATGTTCACGAAGCAGACATCAGTTCTTCTTTTGTCTTTTATGTCCAAATCATCCCTGAATAGGTCATTTTTTCCCCTCTTGTTTTTGGAAACTCTCTGAGGTATGAAAGATTTTTGTCGGGAGGAAGGCATAGAGTAAGATGGCAGCCTTTGTTCATAAATATTTTTTCAGCCTGGTGACGCATTGATTTCACATTACAAATGATTAATTGGGTGCCGATGTTTTGCAAGTCGATGTTGGCCTGAACACACACGAGGTGGCAGAGGCTGTTTTTCCTGCGGCACCGGGAGACCATTACTCAGCACTTCTGTCGAGTTTGTCAGGTTTACTCATCATCACAGCGGCAATGGTATTCTTCTTGTAAGTGATCAGTGGTCTCCTCGGATTACTCTTTAGATTACACCTTAGAAAACACAGAAGGAAGCTTCTGACTTTGTCTTTGGCTCAGGTTTTGTGGATCTATGAGTTCAGGAACAAATCCTAAAACGAAGAAGAAATTTCAGCTTTAAATCTGTCCCTATGCAAACTAAATGTACCTACAGGGACTCAAACATCAACCATGTGTCCCAGTTAAAACTCTGG